CGCAAGAGAGGTAGATTGACCCCCTTCGCTTTGGTACACAACGGAACTCCATTTAGGCCGGCGGCGCCCTCCGCGAGCCCCTCCCGCGAGGCTCTCCCCGCCGCCCCCGCGCGGAGTCCACCGGAGGCGGGGCGGAGCTTTTAGACCCGACCGCATTCTGCCTGGTGTACCAGGCCCTGCCTGCCCCGCCGCACGGGAAAGGGGTCTGATCGAGTCTGACTCCCTCAAATAAAATCTTAATTAACTGCAAGACAACTAATCGTTATCAGTTTCTCAAAAAAGTTATTGCCACAACCAAAATTTAGTTTCAGCGAAACAAATAAGCTACTTGACGGAACAAACAGGATTCGTTTCGAGAGCTGGGCGAGGCTTCGTTCTTGTAACCAACGTGTTTGTTACGTCAACTCCGTATACCAGTAAACTTCAGTTTTGTTGTGACTACCAAATACTGGTTTTGTGAAACTAAAAGTTCTCAGTAGTGGTCTCGCAAGTCACTAAAATTTGCCTCCGGAAAACCAATTCTACGTTTCCGTGTGCTCGCTTAGCTCAGCCAAGAGTTGGGGCTCAGCAGCCAGCAATCTATTCGCGTTTAATTCGCGCCGCTCTGTACTCTGTATTCTACGCAGCAATAGATAACGTGGGCTGATTTCGTATACCTTGCTATGCAACGAGCCCGGCGCGACACTGTCTCCGAGAAGTCTCTCGTCTCTCGTCTCTCTCTCTCGCCCCAGGTAGCGCGCCGGCGGGAGCGAGGTAGTTTCATAACGCGCTGCCCCGCTGCCTGCTGGGCCGGGCCGGGTTGGGCCGCGCCGGGGACTTGGTATGTTCGACACGACGTTCCGGCCGGCGAGACGATCCAAGGCTGCTGAAAGTCCTTTACTCCTGCCAGCCGACGCGTTCGCTAGCAGCCGCGTTCAGAGGACCGCAGCGGCGGCAGCGCAGACACAGACGAGGGGAGCGAAAGTGCGCCTCTGCGCGCGGCAAGCAGCGCCTCGAGCAGCAGCGCTGCAGTCGGACGGGTGGGATGCACCGATGGGTGCCTGAAAAGAGAAAGAAATTCAATTTTCTTGACTCGTTGTGGGTTGGGTGCATACTGAAGTCATTGCGTCCAAAATAGACTGCATTTGACTGGAAATGCCTGTAAATTTGACGGTAAAATGCCATGAAACATCCCCCTTTACAAAGAAAATTTGATTGGCCAGTGGAAATGATCGGAGTGAATGGAGTGATTGGAAAACGATTATTTTTAAACCGTGTGAGGTACCCCTCGAGATGCACCCCTGAGACACTCCTCTTCTTTCACTGTTTTGGCGCTGTGCCTCCAACGTTAGTTGGGGTAGGCTCCGGGGAGCCCAGGCCTCTCTCGCGAGCACAGGGAGCCAGGTGAGACACTGGCCAGGCCAGTCCAGTGAGCCTTGACCTGCTTCATGAGCCCGTCTGTGTGTGTGTGTGTGCGCGCGCGCGAGCTGTGTCTCAACAAAGTGTGAGCACTTTCTCAGAGTGTATACAACAGGTGACATTTCTCTCGACTCTTGCCCACAGGGCGCGACCCATGGGGCGGACCCTCGATGGCACTGCTCCCGCATGATGACGCTGTGGCGGCGCGTGGCCTGGTGCCCAGGGCGACCCTCGCCGTGGCCCTGCTCGCCATCGCCCTCGTCCACCCCACTACCGTCGTCGAGGCCCAGCCGTCGCTGCCCAGCGCGCTACGCGGCTTCCGCCGCGACACGGCGCCGTACAAAGGGTTCACGGGCATCAGGGCGCGCGGCGACTCGGCCAGGAGGGTGTTCTTCCACGACCAGACCATCGCCGTCGTGGAGGTGTCCATGGACTACAACTCCATGGAGCTGCAGAACTGCGAACTCATCGAGGTCAAGTGAGTACAAACGGGGAGAACACACATTGACCGCAGCCGTCGCGGCCGCCG